GAATGGAGAAAACCAACTTAAAAATACAGCAAGAGAGTTTATATATATATATATATATATATATATATATAAACAACAATAACTCTCTAGTGATAATAAAATAGTTGCTCACTCAATTTCATTTCTTTGCCCCTTTTTTTTTCTATATGCATCTCTTCTTCCCACCCATCCACACACATCCTTTTTTTTTCTCTCCTTTTTTTTCTTTTTTTTTTTTTCTCTTCTTTCTTTCTATGCGTGTCGGGCTGCCTTTCTGGGTGGTTCACCTCCCACACTACGTGTTTCGCTCTGTGTCTCTTCCACTGAGAGAGAATTATACGTGGCTGCTCTTTTCATGGAGCTACTCACTACTTGATGCAGCAGCTGCGATGTTACAATACGTGGACTGGCTCCCAATAACAACAACTCTGGCGATCGTGTTGTGGCCGTTGGTGTTGGTTGTAGTTGTGGTTGTTGTAATTCCTCCATTCCCTTCTTTTCCGATAAGGATGGAGTTACTGTGATGGTATCCACTGTCATGAATTCATCTGGTACGGAGCTGAAGGAGAGTTCCTGTGATTTCCGTTCAGAAATAAATCGTTGCAGCATCACATCTTCTTCTCGCATTGGTGGAGGCGGTGCGGTGGTATTCGCCGCTGCATCTTCTGTATTTTTCTCCACTGCATTCTTTTTTCCATCTCCAGCAGTTGTGCCTGCGTTTTCTCCATCCTGTTCCATTTGGTATTTGTGTGCTAGTTGGGCACGACGTTGATCATCCACAATCCATAAACCACCAGACTCCAGTAAATTTCCCTTTCGATCTAAACGTTTCTCATTATCAATACCACGTAAACGGTCTCGTTTATTAAGTTCATAGTTTTGTTGTGTAATTCGGGTAATCTTTGACATGTACGCACTTCGACGTTCATCACTCACATAGGCGTAGAAACTCTCCTCACATTGTTTACTCTCCTCCCACCGCTCCAAAAATTTCTGTGAGAGTACTGGAGACGATATAGATTGTGATCCTCCCATTTCCTGTGTGTTGAGAGGTGAGAGTGGTCCAGGGGCGAGATCAGCCAATGACATTCCACTTACCCATCCTCCCTGCGATTGTGATTGTGATTGTGAGAAACTTTCATTTCTTTGTGTGGTTATTATTGTGGTGGTGCCTGTTTGGGATTTGCGGTTAAGAAGCACCGGTTCTGTTCGTCGCTCTAATGCCATGGCGGTGTGTCCAGTTGCATGTCGACTAGACGCAATGCCGAGTTCCGTCTCCAGCCGCATATTATGAAGGGCGTTTACAGTGAGATGAACAGGCGCACTGCCGGCATCGCGAACACCCAGTCGTTTTTTACGTTCCCGCATCTCCGCCACTTCCTCTGGTGTCCATGTGTGTTGAATGAGTGTGGATTGACGGAAGGATCGCATTTGTTGAATTTCCCGCGGTGTTGGGAGTTGGGCTCGTGCTGTGGTGTCTACAGCAATTCCTTGTGAAGAGGAATTCTTTTCTTCTCCTCCTTCTTTTCCTTCTTTTCCCTCCTCCTCGTGTGGATGGTGTTGTTCGGCGTGGGCGGCGCAGTAGGCCATCACTTCCTCTGCGGTGGGTAACTTACTAGAGAGTCGTGGGAGTTCCACCAATTTATCTTCACCTTCCACACGCAGTGCAATGAAGAAGTGTTTATCTTTCCACTTGAGTGGACACACCTCAGATCCTGTCGAGGCATTATGATGATGAT